AAAAAAAAATTATTATTAACAAAAAAAAAAAAAAAAAATCAAATAAATGCCATTCTTTTGAACTTTCTATTCATCGGTGATTCCTGAAGAAAAAAAAAATCACGGTTTGCATACAAATACTAAGCACTGTATTCAAAATAAAAAACAGTTATTTAAGTTATTTAAATTAATAAAATTAAATTTACATTATTTCACAATATTAGTGTTTTACTGTATTTTTGATCAAAAAAATTTAGCCTTGTTGAGTGTAAGACTTCTTTTCAAAATTATTAAATAAATCATATCGACCCTAAACTGTAGTGTATATAAGCAAATAAATTCCAAAATGTATATATGAGTACACCTGAATATTCAAAATTAATATCTTAAATATTCTAAATATAAACAAATTGCAAATAAGTACATTCTAAGTCATATTTTATGCATAAAGAATAACCTAAATAACAAAATATTCGGAAAGCTTAAATCACAGTTCTGACAGAAGCAAGGCTTATTCCTCCTGTTGTTTTTTAAAGGTAGTATCAAAGGTCATCAACGTGTCCTCAGCTGTGCATACTTCTTTCCTATTGGTCAGTTTAAAAGCCAGGTGCCATAAAAAAGCAGTTTTAACAAGAACCTGCAGAGACATGACATCAGATTCTTGAGCATCTCCAGCCCAGCCCTTAGGGGCCCCGCGGAGCCGGAGGCAAGAGACATAAACACAGTTACCAAACACATAACGGACTCACATTCTCCACAAGTGGAACGAGCACACCTACAGTATAGCCGTATGTTTTAACTATAAACACAGTTCAAAACACATCCTCAGATGCTACCCAGCATGCACCCTGTCTAATCTAATAGAGCCTCACAAACAGACTAATCATAATCTTATTTTCTAAATTATGATAACTCACCACAACAACGTTCTCTCAGTGTGCAACCAGGGGTGTATCTACTCAGAAATCACAGCATACAGTGACCTCTCATATATACTTGCTCGAAAGGTCTATGTACTCAAACTCAGCTGCCTCGGATCCTGATGAAAATATAATCTGACATTATGTTTGTCCTTCTGGCACATAGTGTGCAAACACACTCGGGAACGCATGCAAAGATGCAAAGTCCACTGCATGTGTGGGTGAGGGTAAATACAGATTCAGTGGTTTTGACTAAAAACAGATACGGTCATTGAATCATGATTAATTCAGACACAGTTTAAAGTTTCCTATGATCACATGACCTACACTGACACAGAATACCATGTTTACCTGTCACCCCTCCCATCCCTTGTCCCAACAGCATTCAAAACAGTTACAAAAAATGCATAGAGATCACCAACCTTCAACGCAAACTTGCGGCTGATGTTATCCGATGCCTGGAGTGCTCCAATCTTGAAGCTGAGAAGAGGAAGGCTGCCCAAGACTACTTCTTCCTTCTCGTCTGAATGGAATAAAAAAACATTGAAAAAGCAAAAGAAATAAGCATTAATACTAAAGTAAAAATAAAATACAACAAAAAATACAAATAAAAAGCATTTGTATTCCAACCTAGATTTCAAAACGCTGATTATAAAATTAGGTGATAATTCCGTCCCAAATCAGAAAAGTCCAACTTCCTGTTGTGTGCCGCTACACTGGTGATGAAAGGCAGTGGTAATGGAAAAGCAGGTAAACTGCAGGTGAATCCCATAATAGATATCCATTTTTATCTCAGCGTAACGTTAATGACACTGAAGCGAGCAGCAGCACACAGCCTAGGAGAGAAGCGCTCGGGCTGGTTAAATAATGGAGCACATCGTTAAATTTTCAGCATGAACAGAAGCGAGGAGGGCAACGGAGATCCAGCGTTCACGTTCTCGATCTCCTGTACTGAGAGCTGCTGCCGGGGAAATGCAGTGAACCCACCCGCGCGTGTGTTCTGACAGCGCTCTGTGTGTGTTTGTGTGTGTGAATGAGAGACAGGGAGGGGTGGAGGGAAAGGAGGGGTGGAGCAGGTTGTGTTTGTGCTGTAGGCCTATAGAAGTGGGTAGAGCGAGAGAGAGAGAGAGAGAGAGAAGATAGCTATCATCCCTCAGTGACTCAGTGCTGCAGGAATTCTGGCTCTCAACCAGCTGTACCTGCACTGAACAACCAATCAGAGCCTATTATTCTGTCAACAAAAGCCTAGGCAAAAACAATCCTGTATAAGAAACATTAATTGACATGGAAACCTATTTCTATTTTCGCACAACAAAATATTCTTGAAAACACAATGAACTGAACATTGCATAAAGGAAGGTAATAAAAAGCACATCTAAACCTGTCTGTCAGGGCTGTAATCAGTACAGACATTGACAAGGAATGTCGCTCCCAATATTCAGATTTGTGGTCGAAAGATATGTTTTAAATGGCTGATTCTTAATTTATTATGGTTAGCCACCCAATCTTTGAAATGTGGTTACAGACTAGCTGTCTGCATAAAATCTAATCTTACTACGCTTATTCGTCCTCAATACTGCTACAATGTAGCATTTTCATCTTAATTTCCAGTAAAAATGTAAAAACACTTTTAAAAGAAGATAAATTTACCTGACAAGTAAAACTGCATAAGATGATTAGACATGCTTTTTGAAATACATCTAGAATTAACTTCATTTATTTATTTTTACATACCCTGTTGGCATGATGTTTTCTCTTGTTTTCAGCATAATATAAAAAAAATAATAATAATAAACCAGAAACATTCTTAAAGACATATGCAAATCTTTTCCTCAATATTTTTTATTTATTTATTTGTTTTAAGTAATCTTTTAAGGGATTTTCTTCACTGGAAAACAAGGTAAAAATACAGATTTTTTTCTTACACAATCTGAACTGCGCCCAAGCTTTTACATATTTTCTTCGATGGGTCATTTTACAGAAGAACTGTTGCACAAAATACGGGCTGACAAATCAATCACACGCACAATCACTCACTCCATAATAACAGGTACATGTCAATACAAAAGCTGAGGCAATTCTAAACAACACACAGAAGAATCCTATTTTATAATGTAATTATTTTATATTTTATTATTTTATAATGTAACCCTTGACAAAAGATGCGGCCACGTTTACCACTCTTTATAAGCTTTTTGTATGCAAAATCCAGTCATTTTAATAGGAATCCCCACGATCTTGCAGATTTCGTAACGGGTTCAAGTTGGCAAAATTTCGCTACGATTTCATTAATGTGACTGCACCCTAAGACTGGTTGCAGAGGGAAACTAGATCTGTTACTGAGAAACTTATTTATGTCAACATACACTGCTAATCATAACCCAGAATCTATTTTCACATTTAACAATCATTTCATCGAAGTTTCTTTTTTTGCCTGTTACCCTCTCTTCCTCGTACTTGGCATACGCCTCTGATATCTGCAGCGACGACAACAGCGGGCCATTTTTCATCGTCTCCCTGTGTTCAGAATACCAATTGAGGCATTAAATTGCTCTGTCACACATTCTCAAACTCTTTTGCACAGCACAGTTGGGTAGATGGATCCGGGGTGATAAGAGGACGTAGGGTGTTGTGCCTCCAAACACAACGCTGTTGCCAAGATATCAAGGGCAGCTGTGGAGACGTATGGGATACAGCCAGCCGTGGAGTGTTGCTGATTGTGATTTTTAAATAAATGACCCTCTCATCCCAGTGAGCCATTCAATCAAGGAAGGAAAGAAACTTCCTGGTGTTCCTGGAGTGTGTTTGTTATGCCACTAACAGTGACTCCTATTAATATTGTAATGTTGTTCAGCTGTATGCAGTTACATTTTTGAATGTACAATGATCTTTGTGTACAGTAGTTGCTAAATGTATTACAATACAAGTGGGATGACATTACGTTTGTTAGGATACTCGAACCTGTCCATTACTTTGACTTGTTAGCACTTTTTCTGATTTAAACAGCACTGAGGGTTAAAAACAGGAATAGTTCTATTCTATAAATAGTTCTAAGTTCTATACATTGAAACCAATGCATTTCATTGCCCACTACATAGGCAAAGAAGCAGTACTTTTTTAATAGTTTGTTTTTAGCACATTGCTAAGCTAACATGACATAAAAAAATTACATTGAACTATACTTGATGCATTTGGGCATTAACAAGTATTCATAATCAGCGCAATTATTAATTTATCTCAGCTCATCCACCATCTTGGATTATTTATTTTTTTCAGGAAATTGAGGGCATTTGGAGTTTGACATTAAAATACCTTATTTTTATGGTCAAGCTGAATTTTCAGCAGCCATAACTCCAATCTTCACATGATCCTTCAGAAATCATGCTAATATGATGATTTGATGCACAGAAAAATTCTTATTATCATTTTCAAAAGCAGTTTTGATTATTCATATTTTTGTGTAACCAGTGACACATTTTTTGATGAATAGGAGCTTCAAAAGAATAGTATTTTTTGATAGAAATAGAAAAATATTTTCTGTTGCTTTGTCTGCCACCTTGGATTTACTGCTTTTCATTAGGTGCCACAATGCATTTGGGACAATCTTCTCTGTGAAGGATGTCAGGAGTGCTCCTATAAACCCTTAAAATGCTCCCTCCGCAGACAGCTCACTAGGCTTTGGAACTGAGCATGTGTTTTGATGTTGCCTTCAGAATATGAGCGTAATGGAGAAGTAGTTTGACGTAATTAGCCAGAAAGACGTGGGCAAAGTCAACAGGGTTGAATCATGCAGCCGTAGCCCCACAGGCCTTGCTTGCTGCACTCACCGATATAATTAACCCTGCTTTGCTGCACACAAAAAGCTTGATCCAGCCAAGAACCATTACTGTAGACCTCCTCCTCCGGGTAGACGCATGCACAGATGTTCTTCAAGTTTATGATTAAATTGCAGCCCGAGCTGGGAACATTTTATGATCTAATGTGATAGGGTAATGGAGCTCTAATGGCTCTCAAATTTACACAATAAGCATTAATGAGACCACTGAGAAAGGAAGATTTGCTCACATCATCAGCAAGGCCAAATCAATCTCCAAACACACACTCATAACTGCAGTATTCACATACAAGGCTTACATATGTTGGTGTGTTGACAGTTTTATCCTCCATATGCTTTGTGGAAGAAAACAACAGCCTTTGCACCTTTTTTTTCCTAAACCCAAACAAACCCCATGACACGCATATCCGAGCGGAGCCGGGAGGATGTCTACACTCCCTTCAGAAAACCTAAGATCAAATGCATGGGAGTCCTGCCAAAGGGAGAAGCTTGCATGAAGGCAGTAAGGTAACAGCGCCATGGCCTGTAACACAGGCCTGGAAGACTCCACATGGGAATGAGGTCTTTAAGGAAAGGAGTGATCTTCAAAGCATTTTTTTTTTTTGGTTAAAGATGTTTTAAAAACATCTTCAGTAGTGCAAGACATGTTGGTCTGGTGGTACAGTTTTAGTTTGGCATGGAACTGGTTCAAAGAGATTAAAGTTCATCCAAAAATGATAACTATGACACAATTTACTCACCGTCATGTTGTTCCAAACCTATAGCACTTGCTTTCTTTGTAGACAACAAAAGAAGATATTTTGTACAGACAGATGACAGAATGAAAGTGAATGGAGTCCAAAACAACAACGGACCTAAATGACTAACATCATTTGGAGAACATCATCTTTTGTGTTCCATGTGACATAAGAGTGAGTAAATTATGAATTTTCATTGTTGGGTGAACAAACCCATACACACAGACACAAGCAAAATGCACAAAACAACCAAGCAAACTGCACAAAAATGTGCCGATCATGATGCATTTTCACTGTATGGTAAATTTGAAAACTATTTTTATATTCTACTGGAAAGCAAAAACCTTTTTGGCAAGAACAAATATGCAACATATTAACATTTTAAACAAGTTGTATTTAAAATCCATAATCTAAAGGGGCACATGCTTCGTTACTTCGTAACTGGCATGATGCATGGTGCTCAAAAACCAAGACAACCTCACAATCTCACAAAACAAGTTTGTTTCTGATACGGCATGTAAAGAGAACAGATACACAGGAACAAGAATTCCATCTCTGAAAACTGAGAACACACTAAAAACAACACCGATAGCAAGTGAAGAGTGAGTCTTACAGGAAGACTGACATGTTTGGAGACATTTGGAGATACTGAGAACAGTTTCTCATATTTGCATTCCCTCAGAGAGTATCACTGTCAACTATGATCAGGTGCACACACATAAACACAAAAATACAGTCAGTGGATCTAAAACCAAAACTCCATGATTGAATAGTAGTGCCATCAATGTTGTTTGTTTTTTAAACAATGCACAATGAATCACTGACAAGAGTATTGTCATAAGATTACATAAGACGAAAAAAGAAAAAAAAAAACTTGGGATTGCATAACTTGATATGTTTTAATTTATATTCTTCTAAATGATAGACTAGTTACACCTTCTTCAGCAAATATGAAGATAAATCACTGACTGATATTCCCAGATGGTAAAGTTTGTGGATGTTAAATCACTTAAGGAAATGCAGTACAGAAAAGAGGACACAAAGATAGAGTACAGTGTTCCTTTTTAGTAACGAGGGACACAAGAGAAATATATGCAAAAAGAAAGAAAGAAAGAAAGAAAGAAGAGAGGAAGAGGAGTGTGCTAAAAATATTATTCCCGAAGATAAATTTACGAACAAAATTTCAATAATACCTATAGAATAAGGAATAATTCACTCAAACATTTAAATTCTGTCATTTAATCATCCTCATTTCTTTCCAAAGACATAACAGAACATAACGTGGAACATAACAGAAGAAAGAATGTTGTCATTATTTTCCATGCAATTACAATGACTGAAAAAGGAAGCTCCAAGCTTCAAAAAAACATGCAAAAGTAACGCAAAAGCATCATAATTTGGCAAATTGGATTTTTTTTTAATTTGTGAGGTTTGTGGATTTTGTGCTTTGAAAAAACTACAGTAATTTAAAATATATACCTAATTCAAGAAATATTCTCTGAAAACAAGCTCTGTTACACAATTTTGTTTAAATGTATAAAAGCCAATTACATATAAGAAAGATTTTACCGTAAAACAAGACAAAAATACTAAAAGTTAGTTATTAAAGTTTTTTTCTAGTTATTGTTTAGAGTGTGGAAGGAAGAAATTCATGCTAAACAAGCTTGAAAGAAGAAGGGTGGAAAGGAATCCACTAAGAACTAGTGTGTTGCTGTTGACATGATACTGACTGCGGCTGCAGGACATGTGCTGGACATGCATCATCCACTTCCTGTTTGTTGCTACCGTGTGTTTTGAGTTTGAGCTCCGTCAAGTTAATTCTTTGTCGTCTAATTTTCTATTTTAAAATCAATTTTATACACCATCATTTTCGTTTATATAACGTGTGAATATATCCACTATCGTATTCTACAACAAAAACAATCAGAGCGCCTTGTTATCACTAGTTTTATTTTGATTTCCCGAGTCCGCTATTAGCAAATAGCCCGCTAGCATAGCCAGCGTGGTTGCCGCTAACCTCGCTTACATTACAAATACTCTATTCACACACATTACCATTGTTTTACTCACTGTTACTTGCTTTAATGGCGGATGTGTGTCTACCTTTGAGTACAGGTGAGGACACGTTCAAGCTGCATTCAGTGCAGCTCGAGCTGGAGGCCGTGGAGAACCAGATCCGCGACCTGGTGGTGAGGCTGACCTGTCATGTTGCATTATTGACACACTATTTTCCTAATTAATGCTGTTCAGTTGCTTTGACACAATCTGTATTGTTAAAAGCGCTATATAAATAAAGGTGACTTGACTTGACTTGACCTGCGGGGCAACCTCTCATATGCTGACATGCCCAGTCTCATCTCTGAGAGCATGCTATCTGCCTATGGAGTCTAAATTTATCCAGGAGAGCGTAGGCGGTGCTCGGGTGACAGAGAGGTTTGAAGTGTTTCAGTGTCTTGCAAACTCAAAATAGAACATTTGATATTCTTGTCAATGAATTCATCTTCTGTGGGAATTATTAGTAGGGTGATATCTAACAATAACATTCTGAACATCTTGCATTGACCATTTTCACCTTCCCTGATGGCATTAACCATTACGGACCCTGCATCTTTTCAAATAAACAAAATTATATATAAAATTTAAATAAAATCCATAAAATTTGTTAATTACTAAAATGTAAAAAATTATCATAAACATATTTTTGTTTGCTCATCATATTTTAGCATTTAGAGTAGAAATAAAGCATGGACAGAATGTTGGTGTCCCTGAAATATAAACCAGGTCTGAAAGGGTTAAACCCCCCTTCTGTGATTGAGAAGAACATGAAGGAACATCTAGACGAAGCTGCATACCAACGATCTTAACACCCTCCTCTATCCCACAATGCCTCTGGGTGATGAATCTCCATGCATGAGCTGTGACTGACCTTCACGGCTAGTCTAAAGGAGACGGTCATATATTCCCGTCACGCAGATCACAGACGCCGCTTTCTGAGAGCAAGTGATGGATGTGTTTGGATATTGTTTGAACAATTCACTACTAATTTGCTTCACACTTAAAGGTGAAGTGTGTCATTTCCGCACCAAACTGAATTGCAAAAAATAAAAATGTCTTCCATTGGCCAGGCAAACAGATAAACAGCGGAAAATTCCATCCAAATCTTACATGACAGGTTGAGCAAATGTTGCTATGTCAAATCAAGGATACCTAAACAAACTGAATGATGTTAACAGAGATGGAGCGTAGCGATAGTTCTGGCAGGCCATGTTAGTCAAGCTCGCATCAGCTGACACTCAGCTGATCCACGTCTACCTATAGGATCACGACACCAATCATAATTCCCTTCATAAGGTCCCTTCAGCATTATTCAGCAGCTATCGCTTCGCTTAGGAACTAATCACCCACCTCCATCCCCAGCTCCTCCTCTCGTCCAGTCAGGACTTGGCAGTGAATATATCATTGAGTCAGACCACTGAATCATGTTGTTAAAATAATCACGTAGAACATTAATGGTATCTGCTACATTTATCATTGATGTTGGTTCTGTTCTGTTACCCTAGGGGGGGCATTCTGCTCTCCCTGCTGCAATCCATGCTAGGCTGCGTGGATGGGCAGGGAGTGTTTGCCTAGAACAGAACCATTCCCCCAACCTAAAATATATGCTAATCGTAAGTTATATTGACGATAGTGGTCCTGACAGAACTATTTTTTACCATTTTCAGGGTTTATTAGAACTTACACTATACCTCAAACACATACAATTTTACGTAAACATTTAAAATACTTTTAATCTTATCATAATTTATTTTCTTAGATCTCCGACATTACACACTCCTTAGGAATCCAGCTACGCTTCCAACCCTCTACGCACACCTTGGCAATATAATCGCCATTGACTAGTACATTTTTTTGTTTACTCGCCAGACTGATATACTATTTTACACACACACACACACACACACACGTTTACTTAGCTATCTATGGGGACATTACATAGACTTCGATTGTTTTTATATACAGATAGTTATACACTTTTTAACCTAAACCCACCCCTAAC